AAATAAAAAGTAAATAAGAACCCAAAAAACTCAGTTCAAAGAATAGGAACACCAAAGAAAAAAGGGCAAAACTAAAAGAAACATATAGGTTTTCCATAAACCAAAAAATAAAAATAACTGAAAACTTTTATCTAGTATAACAGAGAAAATGCGTGAAAAATTAACTTCAAAAACCTTGGTTGGAAGGGTTGAATATACTACAAAGATTAGAAGTCTTTGATAAGTTTGGGGTATAAATCAATTAAGAATAGGTTATGAAAGTGAATAATCTCACTTTGTATATTAATCTCTCAAATAATGTTTTGGTTCCTTGTACAATGAATAATGCCTTGTATATATAGGCAATAATCAATCAGGAAAATGCTAAATAAGTCATAAAACATCAAGATAACGTCAAATAAATAGAATTTTAAATGGAAAAGGAAAAAAAGTAAATCGCCTTTAGATTTTATACTGTGTGCGCACTTTGTATCGTGGCGCATAAGCACCCTTCGGCCTCGGAAAAAAATTTTACTCGCTCATGCATGGGTCACTTTTTGCTCCACTTCTTCCAAATTAGCTTGAATTAAATGCAGTAATGTTGATTCTTCTTTCATGCCCATTTAGGCCATCTCCAGTGCTGCACCAAAATTTGTACTATTCTGCACAAAATCTTTCAACAAACTAAAATTCCTCTCCAACCAATATAACAAAACTTACACCAAATGAACAGTGTTTAACCCTTTTTTTCCCTTTTTTATTCTTAGTAATTTATTTATTTGAAATATTATTAATTTAATTATTTTATAAATACATAAATTACTAAATAAATAATTACAGTAAATTACGAAAAATATTAAATTCATTAATAAATATAAAAAAAACATAATATAATTTATAAAAACACTACAACAGCGAAAATATTAAATCATGTCATCATAAAATAGTGCAATGCATTTCGAGTTTGGATAATGCGATATTACGAAGTCACAAAATTTCTGCAATTTAATTCTCGAAATTCATATGTTCTTTCCATAAATGATCGATTAATCCAGATTGCTAAACTATACACTTTTTTACGTATCGTTTTCTTTGAATAAAATTAAATTATCGTATGTATGTCATCGTTTAGTATATTTCATGTTAACTTTCTTTAATAATCATGTTTGTTATATTTTAATTTTTTTTCTTCTTTTAATTAATTCATTAATTATTATTTTTTACATTTAAAATTTATTTTAAATGCAAATAATAATAATAATTTATTATATTAAAAAATATATAGCACAAATGACGCAACTATCCTTAATCAATTTGTTTAGAAAAGTATAAGAAATGGTAAAAAAGACTTTATACACTTTGCACAATTTGCACCGATATGGTGCATAGTATAGTGTTGCATGGCCTTAAGATTAGGTGTATTGCTTACATTCGATTCACATTGCTTGGATAAGTCCTTGCATGACTTCTTTGATCTTTTTTGCTTTTGATCTTGTAATTTGTCTATTTGAAACATGCTAAGAATCCTAACTAACTTATCCTCCACGATTCTCATTAGGTTCACTTTTGAAAAATGGAGTAGTAAGTGTAGAAGAAGAATAGATAATCGGGTTGGGATATGAGCTTAGAAAGTAGGGAAAGTTCGGTTTTAGAAAGGACATAAGTTACAGTGATATTTGTGAAAAGATTATTAAAATGTGACATTTTTGTTAATGCCAATTCAAAAAGTTATACGGAGTTCAAATTTCCCCCTTTTTACCTCTTATCACAATAAGACATCCTTTTTCCTTTACATATCAGATTATTCCTCTCTTCCTTTTTTCTGCAGGGAAAACAGTTTCTAAGGTTTCTAGTAGGATGAGGAGGTTCGCTACAATCGAACACGAATAAGAACACGTGCATTTATTTGCTGATTTTTTTGGGTTTGTTGCTTGGAGAATTTGCAAAGCATTGGTGGCTGAAGTTACGTGTATTTAATTTGTGCAATAAGGTCTTCAAACTTTTCTTTTAAGAGCAGATTCCTCAATATATCAATTATGTAGCAAGTTATTACTCCAATAGACATGAATTCTAGCATCCTTTTGAAGAGAAATACGAAAACGAGAATTAAAAAATTATAATAAGTAAAAAGAATACCCCACTCACTCTTAAGTGATTTTAATTTTGGGAATGAGCAAACTACATTAATGATAATGATGATTCTTGAGACGAAGCTTATGTACATTCAAACAATCTTTATTTGGAATATATTGCTATGTATATAAAGATTTATGTAAACGATTACATAATTCCACTTGGCACTCTACCATTTGCCAATTTAAAACACAATCAACTTTTTCATCCAATCTTTTCCCTTCGCATCATATTATGTAATCCATTGTGTATATTTTTTATGTACAAATAGCAAAATCCTACCAATAAAACAGAGATTCAAACAAAAAATGCACAAAATATTCAAAAGGATAAAGCTATTTGTACATAATTTTTTGTAGATCAAAGTATCGATACACTCACATGAAGTATTCAAGTGACCCTCATCCCATGTGAGTGTAGGACACCTTGATATACAAAAAATTATGAACTCCAAGCAAGGCCCCATTCAAAATTCCCAATTTTATCAACTTGATAACAAACAGCGGAAGCCAAGTCGACAAATATTCTTGTCGCCTATAATTTGTTCATAACAAATCACGTCACAAGATCTACACTCAACAAAAGTTCTGTTTCTCCAAACGTTGTTCCTGTTTAGCATGACAAATACAGATAAGTGTTTAACATAAATATATCACCATTTCATCATTTCATAGCAATATGGATACTTTTGATAGTTTTGAATTGTTTTCATCCATACTGTATTACAAAATTAGTATTGAATCTCTCTCTCAGCATAAAATAAATCACTGTAGAAAAACGACAGTACGACAAATCCAAATCACCTCCTGAAAAAGGAAAAGAAAAAGAAAAAAGAAAAAAAAAATTGAATATGGAAAACATTATTAACGAAATAGAAGAAGATAACTGATGTAAATATTCATATCGAGGTGTTATATAGGGAAATAGAGCTTGTTTTTCATGTTAAGAGTGGAATTTAGATAGAAAATTTTATCAACTTCAAATACTTGTATCCAGTATCCTAGCTACTATCTTAATCAGTAGTGCAATTCTGCAACGTAAACATACACATATTCCCAGTTTGACATCCATTTTAGAATTTTTTTTTTTTTGCGGGGGGGGGGGGGGGGGGGGGGGGTGGGAGGTGTGTGATTTTAAAAATTCACTTGAACTAGAAGAATATGGGGACAATTAGCTTTGGAATAGTGATTTTTTTTGGAGAATGTATGGTTAAAAAGTAAGAAAAATTTATTGCGTAAATGTGAGGTTGAAAATGAGTTTGAGAAAAATTATATATATCAACTCATAACCTCCCACAAACTCCCAAAGAAAAAGTAAAGAAAGTATAAAACAACAGTACATCATCTTCCTTCTAATAAAAACAAAGAGAATACTTTTAAAATACCTGCATCCCGACTATCTTAATCTATAGTTCAATTATATGCATAATGAACATGCAAAGTGTGAATGAGTCATCGACAAAGGACATAAGGTACAGTGAAAACAAAGAGGAAAATTATACAGTTGTAATTGAAGAAAAACAGATTTTAATCTCTTAAAACTATGGACTGAGTGGTAATGAGAGTTGACACACCACTGTACACATTACATGCTAGAGACAAAATATGTAGCCAGGACAAATTGCTAAAATGATAAGAAATTGGTCGAGAATAATTTTTCAGAAGTTACCTCAAGAACTGACGTATCTTATGCTAACAATCAACCAATAGATGGGCAAGAATCAATGAATCAGCAGCGGTGAATAACAACATGATGCACACTATCTTCTCTACCGGGAAATGAGAAAAGAAAAGCATCCATCTATAACATTGACAGATTAAGTCCAAAACCTTAATTGATTGTAGAAGCAGCAGATGCTGCAGAGGCCTCGGATATTAAGGAGACAGGCTGACGAGCCTGCAAGCAAGCACCTATATCGAAAGGTCGCAATTCAGATCCATCAAAAAGAAGATTTACACCAGGAAGAATTACTTCAGCGCTTTCAGTATCCTCCGATTCAACTTTTGCAGTACCTACGGAAGCGGAATCTTCAATGGGTCGAGTGGCATCCTCATAAACAGGAGCCAGAGCATATGATCTGAAACCATTGAAAAACCCATGGCGGATTAAAAAATTAGCTAGCGAGTACTTCATTAAGACATCATATCTATACAAAGGATGTCACAACATTAAAAAAATTTGGAGGGTACCACTGTACTAGAAATCATAGCATGTTCCATGATGAATCTTTTAAAACGTATATCAAGCAATGATATTTTTAATTACAGTGGCAGATTTCCAGTATATTTTAGAATTTTAAAAATATTAAAAACACCATGATCTTCCATCATTTGCTTGCAGAAATTGTAGTAGGAATACATTTGCAACAATAAATACCAGTATACAAATCCATCAGAAGCATTGATAAAATTCAAGATCTTTCGTGCTGTAAGGGCAGACAAATACAAATTTCAAGACTTTTAACATCCCTAATTCTCAAATGGTACTTTTGTAAGCAACAAAGGTATGGTATTGAACTCCTCTGCGAGGGCCCTTACTCATAACATCCCATTTCCAATTTTGCAAATGATGAAAAAGTATTGAGGATGCATATACACAACAAACTGAGCTATTCCCTATAAATTTGAGATCGTCTCTATGAGTTACTTTGTGTCACTCCGTCCAATCAATTGCCAAATCTACGGGGAGATTCAATACAATCAAATTGCCCCCATCACGTCATGCTATTTTTAGTGTAGCTCTCCCCTTCGAACCTGTTTTACAAGATCATACGACTCTTGTATACACAAGTTTCTTTAAGTCTAACAAGAAACACCCAGCTACATAAGTTGTCACACAAGTTTCTTTTAAGTCTAACAAGAAACACCCAGCTACATAAGTTTGTCATTCATTTAGTTCATTTTCAAGTGGTGTCAACCTCACTTAGAGGAATCAAGAAGTTTTTGAAAAATGTTCTCTAAGAACCCAGTACAATGGACAACCATTGGGTTTTACTAGCCTTTTAACCTTAGTATCTTTTTACACAGAATCCAATGACACTTTTCCTTTTCATTTAACGTGCCCTAATCTATGCTAATAACTTCTTCAATATCTCCTGCCACTTTAATTATTAAACCTAAATACCAGCTATGACTATAAGGGCATTCCAAGTATTCCATTTTACTTCTACTTAATCCAAACCATTAGATACAAAAATACTTTAAAGTTTTTAACTTACAATTCGTCCCCTCAAAGACCTGTCATCTAAAACTAAGTCGTCAACAAATAATAGACAACCAAGAATTTCACTTTGGTTGACCCTTGTGAGTTCATCCATGGCTTAGATGAAATTAAGGACTCAAGTCAGAACCTTTAAACAAGCCTGTAGTGCTAAGAAAAGATTTTATCACTGGTATACATTGGCATTGCTTACAAATTGCGAAATCTAATAGAAACTTTTCTCAGTTCTGCACCCACCCTAGCTCTTGTGGGCACAATATCACTGCCACAGCTTCTTCTAAACCGATAAATCATATACAAATCTTGTCTCTTTTCTTTTATTTTCGCCTATCACTTATCTAGGTGAAGAGCTTCCTGGTAGATCTCTCTCATATACAACCAAACAAGTTTGCCAGACCTTGGAATTACACCTTAATCTATACTCAGTGACCCTCTCCCATAATTCATAGTATAAGTGAACTTAATACATCTGTATTTTGTTCATGTAGACAACCACCCTACCACACTGCCTCCTTATCTTACCGATGGAATATAAGGAGATATTATATAATCTAGTTTCCATTTTTTATGCGTATTTTAGGAAACATAAGTAGTGTTTGGTTTAATAACTTTTATTATATATTTCCTACTTTGAATAGGATCCTTGAATATGGGATGGCAATTAAATCCGTTAAAACCGAAAATCGCGGTTAACCGAACCAAATGGGGTGAAAAAAATCGAACCGATGGTGCAATGAGGTGAATATAGTATTTAATTTTAATGACCCGATTTGGAGCGGGGCGGTATGGTATTTGCCCTATCGCCCCGCCCGAACCGATTACCCGTTAAAAAAAATAATAATTGAATTTATTATTTTATATTTGTTATTCATGCACTTTCTTTTATTACTAATTTTTTCCTCTTTTGTGGGTAGAAAATTCTGCTCCATCATACTCCGAAGCTTGTGCAAGGTTTCGTGATGAGGATGCAGACGAACAGATACATTTTTTTGTTTAAATTTTCAGTTAAGGCCATTATAGATTATTACTCTACTTATATTTCTTATATACTATATAGGAATCAGCTTTGAGTTTTGACGTATGCTAGTAAGAGTTGTGGGGAAAAATGAAAATTGAATATGAATTGAGGTTTGAGCTTTTGAATTATTGAGTAGAAATCAAGTTCAATACACAAGGACCAATGGACAAAGATATTGTTTAGTATTGTTATGTAGATAATATTGTTTGTTAAATTCGAATTTTGCATTTGAGAATTGGGATATTGTTTGCATTTTCATTTGGGATGTTGTTTTGCTACATTAGCTCAGTATTATGTTTTTGTTTTCATTGACTTTTTTTCATAAATTTTTTTTTTTTTTTAATTGATGGATGGACCCATAAAAAATAATATATTTTTGTAGTTATTAACGAGCCAAACCGAGATATGAACCGAATCGAACCGACTTACGTGGTTATGGTGCAGTTATGATATGACCAAAAATTTGGTAGTTCGTTGATGGTTTTGGCCGAACCGAACCGTTGCCATCTTTATCTTTGAACCTTACATAAAAGGTCTTATGCTTTGTAATAAACACAACTTTTGATACAGAAATAAAATGATATTCCCCTCCAATTTCTCTCAAATCTCTCCCTCTTCTTTTCACTTTTTCCTCTCCTTTCTTCTTCTCTCACCTTTCCCCTTCTCCTATAATTTTTCCATAGCATCCTACATCACTTAGTTTTTAAAATCTCATCGAATAATTTTGTCAAAACATAAACCACCCAATTTGCCTAAACACTTCCATTTGCCAATAAAATTCATGCATATAAACATTCCTCCATAAATCTCAATACTACCAATAACAGTAAGTGTACTTTATCTCTCTTTTTTGACGAGTGATTATGTGCATTATTTTCTTCAAAAACAGAGGGCCAGATGTACTCTTGTGCATCTATTTGTTTCCTGTTTTGATATTATAGAAATGTTTTATGTCAGCCAGGCAAAAATGCCATTTGTCTGTGAGAATGTGAGGAGCAGAATGTTCGCGCATTATAAGAAACAAAATAAAGATTAGCTTGGAACAATATGGTCTGTTGCAATTTAAAGCACCTTAGCTGTAGCTTAATTTTCAGATTTCTTGGCCCCCCTTTTGTAATGGCAAATTAGTGCAATTTCCAAAATGTTATGAAACTAGACAAATTACAATGATTTATAATGAATACAGGCATAATACAGAGCGTGAGATGAATTAAGACACACCTGAGTATATTACCATCAAAGCTCAGAACTTCCGTGCTGCAACGCTGTCGGTTAGCAAGTTTCAGTCTCTGGTGCTCACTTAAGGCTCCAGATACAGGAGAAGAAGGATCTGTAAGCGGGTTCCATCTTCTGCTAGCATAAGTTATCAGTTGTCGAGATGAATCCTTTGGCTGCTCTCTCTGGTAAAGAAGTCTCGCAATTGGACCAGTTGCTTGGTACTCAGCGCAAACATTGTGCAACCTTTTCCTCAAGTCTTGCATTGCACTATGATGCTCCGTCAGTAATTCTGTTTGAAGTAACTGAGATGAAACCACTCTTCTACATATATCTTTACATAATTTTGGACTAAAAAGAGGAATACCAAATTGCACGCTTAATGGAACCCACTCATACTTGTCACCATCAACTGAAAATTTTTCTGATTCTTGTTCTTTAAAAAGTCTTAATAAGCTAATATATCCGATGCTCCACAAATTTATTCTGTTTGAAATACTACTTAAAAGTGAATCTAACTTCAGTTCCTCTCCTATTGTTGCTATTGAACCATCAGAGTTCTTCAAAGGTAATGGAACATCTAAAGTAACAAGTTTTCCACTATCATCAAGGTCATACCTGCTAAAAGGTTGCACCAGCACAGCAGAGTATTTGAGAAGTGAATTCAAACAATGTAACAGTATGCTTCCTTTAACTAAATTCCCTTCAAATTTCCCTCCCAAACCCCCAACTGTAGATCCATCCCAAGACCATACAAGGGCTTTCTCACAACCAGCTAATGGTGCAGGAAGCAATCTCAAACATTGACCTTTCATCAAAACTACAGAAAGAGGTCCACAGCCTACAGCAGAATACAGGACCATTTTCATCCAGGGAGTCATAGAAGAATGAGAAGGAGGGCCAAAATGAATGGGGCCTTTTGGTCCAGGTAAAACAGAAGAATGAGGAAGTGGAACCATGGACGTGATAATATCATAGTCACGGAGAAATAGACGATCTAAAGTTGCTGGTGGAAGAGCAGCCAAGCTTTCACAACGAAGAATATCCACTCGGTATTTTCTCTTTTTCTTTGCCATCTCTTTTCCAGCATTTAAACCTTCAACGGAATATGAGTTTTCATCATTTGGTACATGAAGATCTGATTTGGAATCCCCAGAATGATTAATCTCCTTGGGTACGCTAGCAAATAACTCTTCATCACCAGTACTTCCAGTTGACAGTTCAGCAGAATCATAATCTTCTTTGGTCATCCTTGAATCCAAAGAATCCTCAATATTTGACCGAGATTCGTTTGTGCCAGTACCTCCACATTTATTGACCAAAGAAACATCAGATGTCAAAGAACTAGCCTCCTCGTCAGTAACAACACCACCTGACGTTAGACATTCCAGGACACACCGGAGGCTGAATGCATGATTGGCAAATTCCTGCAATTCTCCTTCAAATCTGGTTCCCTCTAGTGTACTTAGATCCCTGCAAAGATCTGCAATGCTAGCATTACCAAGTTTTCCTGCTTCGTACAACGTGACAGCATGAGATTTAAGACCTGCAAGAGATATTTTTTAATAAAAAAGTGAATTCAGCAACAGCATAATGTCAAGTCATACAGGTGCTATGATGCCATAAGAGCTATATTAAAACTAATTACAACTAGAACTTTTGAAGATACCTGACAGAAAATCCTCATCACTATTAAAGCAGGACAACATATAAGCTGGTATATCAATTCAGAGAACATCAGACAAGCTGACACAGACTACAGATAAAGCTGATCACATGCACATAAAGTGTACAATTGTACAGAAGCTTCAACCCCAACCGATCCAGCAAAAGATAATAAACATATAAATAAACAAAACACTTCAGGGCAGCAAGTAAAGAAGAGGAATAAGAACCGGCAATATTCAGTTTGAGTTATTTTCTTGCTCTCATTATATTCAATATTTACATTGTGTACAGATAATCCGTTCATATCATTTTGTGCTTCGTTCTTCCAGATGAACCTGGTTAACCACATCGGTTAAATTAACATTGTTCTGATTCCTTGTTGAATTCCTCAAACGAATCAGCCTCCCATAAACCACATCAGGAAGTGTGAACTAAAGTGAATTTCTGAGCATTTATGATAACCATGATCATTTCTGCATATGGAAGATACAGATTTTAGTCAAAAGAGATAATATGACCTCTAATAAACAAACACACTTGCTTTGAGCCCAGGCACAAGCAAAACACGATATCATGTAAGGGCTTCAGATTTTTTTAATTTGATCCCACAAAAACAAAGTTGTAAGAATTACTACCCATCTAATTTGTCTAATAGTAGTAGAATAGCATTGGGTATCTCTTATTTACTAAAGTGCCATTAATTGGTCCCTAAAATAGATCATGCAAGGTCACCCATTGCAAATTTTACACCCTTTACACAAAATTGAGATGAAGACTGTCACTTCAAAAAAAAAAAAAAAAAATGAACATAAGAAACAGAAACAATTAAAAAACAGGAAAAGAAAAAAAGAACAAGGATAAACCTGGTGAAACAGATCCCATCATAAGATAAGACGTTATATTAGCATCAACAACAAAAGCAACACGAGAATAATCAGCAGCTGGACTATAGTTTTCTGTCCATAAAATATCTCCTTGTTGAGTGGTGCCACCATCGGTGGACAGGTTGGCGGAGCCCATACTAGCAAGGGAACCTTCTTCTTCCTCACTGAGAAGACTTTTAGGACTGCCAGGCATACTTGATTCTTGAAGAATAGAAGCAGGGTCTATTATTTTTACTGCCCATCCCAACCGACAAGCAAATGATGCAGCAGCCTGCAGCTGAGAGAGATCAGCCTGTAATGTTGTTGCCAGTTCAGCAACAGTGGAATTCTCACTTGATACCACAAATACAGCATAAAGCAACCTGGATAATGGGATTGATAACATCACAATTAACTTTGCTTCTTTAGAGATTAAATTGAAAATAGGCAGACGGGGCAACTCAAGTGCCTTACTCTTCAATGGGATCTTCATATAACTGCTCCCTGTTTGAAACAAATCCTTCAAGCCTGGAAACTGAAATAATGTGTATATAAAAATTGTAAGTCACATAGACATGTGGACTGAAGTCAGATAGGAGGTTGACAATTACTGGATTTACAGTCAAAACTCAATGAATCCAATATCTGAACACTATAACTTTATAAAATAATAAATAAATAAAAAGACACTTATTTTGTTATGTCAAATTGATTGAATGTCTTAAAGACAGAAACATATGAACACTTTAAACTGCTGTCATTAAAGATCTATTATCTTGCATGTGTAGATGAACGTTGAGTTGAATCTTTTTCGCAGTAGATTATCTAAAATTGGGAAGTCCTGGATATGTGTATAAACATATCCCTTTCTACAAGTCCAAAACATGGGATTGACTAAGCCGTAAACTGCAAACATTCCTCAAGTCTCGCCACCACCCATTAATTTTGCAAATATTAGGCTTTAATAAAAAACGAACCCCGTTTACACATAAGGTGACATGTTGAAGACAAAATTTAAACGATATACATGTAGCCCTCTAACAGCTTAAGCTTTTAGGTCAAGTGGTTCAATAGATTGATCTATACGATATGATGCAAAATAAAGTTCCAACAATTAGAAATGTCTATTCTCAAGCAGCAAAATGATTAAGAAATGAGAAAAGGAAGAAAGTTAAAACTGACACTAACCAAGTCAATATATTGAATATGATAGAAAATTTAATATAACATGTAACATCCCGAATTTTTACTACTAATCGTTAGATTTAAATTTAGGACATATGTGCGCTATTATTGAAGTCTAATGACCTTGTTGGTAGAATTTACACTATAAGTGGAAGATAAACCCAACACTACAGACTACCCCTCACCAACTATTCACATAATCTCCCTCTCTCCCCCTATAACTTTATCTCTCAGCTTTTACTCCTCTTGTCCTTTTCATATTAAATGTAATCATACACTCACACAATCACATGTAAATACTCAACTCGACACACGGCTCAATGATCTATCTCCAATAATCACTTCTTCTATCATTTTGATTTGTCCAGTGAAAAGTAAGTGTGTTATTACATTGTTATGTGGATGTTAATACGTATAAGATTTATAAGAACGGACTAAAGTATAGTAGCGCTATGCACAAAAATTTGGTACCATCTAAATTAGGTCCAATTTTTGTGTCTCTCTATGCAAGTATGAAATTTTTCTAGAAATGCATATACAAGAACAAAAATTACTCGTGCAAACTAATTGAGATTTTATTTCACATTATGTTCTTTTTTCATTTTCGGAAAATTAATGGTTCAAGGCAATCGATGCAGAGATGAATGTCGTGGAATATTTAAAATAACTTTCATGAAGTTATGTCAATTTTATTTAATTTAGGATGAATTCATTTTAAAATTTCCTTACGTCAAACGTATTTTCTTTAAAAATACACTAATTATGAATAATGTTGAATCGTAATTATTTTTATAAAAATCGTATTTATTCATTCCAACCCTTTTATTAAAATTTAATTTAAATTTTAGTGACACTCGAATCGTTAAAAATTCGAATTTTCACACAACATGCAAGATACCTTCCCGTTACGAATAAAAACTCAAACTGTTTTTAATTCAAAAACATTCCTTTTTTCTTTTTATTTTCTTTTTTTCCTTTTGTTTGAGAGGGAGGTGGTATTTTTTGTATCCTGATATTATAATTGAAGGAAAATGGTAAATCAAAAGAGAACTAAGGGGGATGAATAACCCACAGACTATCTTAATAGAACTAATAAAAGTACCTGTAAATTACCTTTAAAATGATCATCAGGATAGACTGGAACATCAAAGTAGACGAGTCCCCGTCGAAAAAGTCCCTTGACAATTTCAGGATCAAAAAGGATGAATGAATTTGCTTCCTCCTTGCAGATTTTATCAATGGTTGCCATTTCTTCTTCTGAAAGTTTCTTGAAAACGGGGTAGAGGAGGGGGGATCAGAATACAGTTTATCTCGGTCATACAGAACTTAATTTGGGCTCTATCCAAAATGGCTTTGCATAAAGAATTTATGGTTAAAAAAAACCTTCAAACATCACATTTGAGGGACTCGCACACATTATAAATTGTAGATAAACCTAAAATGATGTGCTCAAGTTTAGAAGGCAGTTATTAGGAAAGTTCCTCACCTTAAATTCTTCCAAAGTGAAGTTGACCAGACAAACCCCCCACCACGGCTCAATGGCAAAGTCCACAGGTTCAGTAGGTAAGAGTTCTCTTGCTATTGACTTGTTAAGCTTCCACATAATTTTCTGGAAGACTCCAAAAAATTGTAAATATCAGTTAGACAAGTAAGAAAAAATAATTTGGTCCATATCTCACTATACATGACTGTAAATCAAAATGTAGACATGCTTCGGTAAGTGGCCATTCCGTCAAACTAAAAAGGTTTTAGGTTCACCAACGTTTGACCTCCAATGTCTAGGTTTGAAGAAAATTATATTGTGAAGTGTTCTTCAACATTACCTTAGATCTACACTTGTTCATTATGTCAATAAATTCATTTCTTCCTATCCCTGTAAGCCGCAAGGCATCAGCAGCACTAAAATTAGGGATGCTGTCATAAGGTTGCTCTGCATATAGAAGGAGCAAAAGAGAATGGTAAATTTCATCACATTTGAAATCAAGTTTAAGCGAATAATGTCTCCAGAGTACTGAAATACTTTAATCAGAAACTGATGCATAGCTTATTCATATAATTGTTAAGTAAAGATCATCAAATGAACAACAGGGCTAGAAAGTAAAATGCAATCAGGAACATAATTTTAAGGAACTAAAGAAAATCTAAACAAGTGCATGGAAATAATAGTCGCCAGCTTGTATGGAGACTGCTTAATACAAGGGAACCACCAAAATAAAAGGCAAGGGTAAGGTAGAGTGGCAGCATTCAAAATTATTCAGTTACAAGTTTATTTCCGAGGCAACCACTTCATGCTAATGTTTGTAGTTTAGACAAGTCCACTCTTCCCCACAGACTACAGTCATTAATCAGATTATGCCAATCTTCTGAAGAGGGAATACTATCAGGCATATCATTCTAGAAAATCAGTTTTAGATGTTTTTTGGAAAGGGATATTTTCCTTATCATCCAACCGGTCCCATAACAATAATCAGCATTATGGTGTCATGCCACAGAGACAGTGCAGACTGATGTGTCTCAATCTGGAAATTCCAGTAGAAATAAATTCAAATAACTTACTTGGTCAGACGTGGGCTTACTGGCCCTTATCAGTTTATACTGAGCATCGCAGATCAGATATTAGTCTGCAGAATTCTTATACAGGGTGTAATTACACTTTACATATTGTTATTTGAAAATTTAGGATTTACTTACAAGTTTTAACTGAATTTATAATTATGCTATTAAAAATAGCTGAATAAGCTAAAATATCTCTAATTGAATATAACAAAGCACACTCTATATTTTACATTATATAACCTCTTATACACCATTTTTAATTATTTTAAAATTCTTCCAAAACTTAATTACTAGAAACCTTAATGCTACTACTTTAAAAGATGGTCTTCTGTGTGAGAATTACAAAATTTATTTTATCTTCGTTTTCGTTGAACTCCAACTTGAAATGAATAAGAAATTAATCTTAATGAGTTAAAACATATTGAAAAATACTGAAAGGATCTCATTTGATTTTTTTTTTTTTTCCCTAGTATTGTAAAATGGACAAATGAAAATTCTTGGCCATCATCATCTAATTAATAAATTATGTTCAATGAACAAAAACTAAAAATAAAAAGAAAGCGAAACAATTTTTATATAAATTCTTATTATTTCATCTTAAAATTAATTTCTTCTTCACTTTAAGTCGGAGTTATTAGCCTGATATATGCAAAGTAAAATTTTCCAAGGATGCTTGAATAATTTCCCTGGTTTCTACTGTGGATGGTTTTTCCATTTTTAGGAGAAAGTATAACAGAAGACAAGATAAATATAAATATTATTGATATAGTTTAGTCAGACTTGACACATTTTGTGGGGTGGGGTGGGGGGGGGATTTTATTTTTTTTTTTCTTTTTTTTGGGATGAAAAAGAAATAGTAAATGAAATTTCAAAGAATAATCTAGTTAAAAATGGCATGTAAATTTGATCTATTCAGCTATTTATAATTACATATTTGCAATTTTTTCTATTCCACACCAAAAGGTGCTTTTTGTTATAATCTAGTAAACAAAGTGTGCAGAATATAAGCTCGCAAAATGCAGTAGGTAAAGTCTAAATACAGCCTATATAAAGGGTATGTTGTAAATATCAGAAATATTATTATTTATATTTATGCACATTTCATAAAGCGTTGTTTTATTGTATATTTCAATATTAGATATTATCTTTACATGTACTAAATTTTCATGGAAACTTTCTAGTTATTAATCTACAAATACATCAGGTTGCAATGATGGAGGGAGCTACAACTGTACCGGAGATGTAAGACAACAGGTAATTGCTAGTATGGTATTTGCAAATAGGTAATAGCTTAAAAATGGTTGGACAAAAACTATGGCATTTGGAAGCTAAGAGAAACACCATGGATCCCATCTCAAGGAACAAGCCTTACTGGCCAAATAGTGCAGTTGTGAATAATGAAGTCTTTATATAACTGGTTATGAGTTTGAAATCTGGGAAACAAATATACTTGTCTTTGATTAATGTGTAGGAATCAAATGCATCTTTATATTTATAATAATTGTGGACATGTATCCATAGCGGACAGATCCTATTTTAGTTTGCAATATCTAATTTACCTGCTCAATGATATCCTAGTGAGTTTTTACTAATTGTACCAGTGACAAAGATTTCTATAACATCTTATTAAAATTTCAAACCCTTTTGTGTAACTTTCTAACTTTTTGATTTTCTCTGGATTCCTATTGAAATCCTCGAAATCAAAGAATATCGAAATAGTGCATTTTCCAAAATCCAAGAATTTCTTAAAATTTCTATGTAGAGCTTTATCCTTAAAAGTAACAGGGCGTTTTTAATATAAAATTCTAATATTGTCTCTTTATTAAATGGAATTTCTTATACTAAGAATTGCCTTATAATTGTGTCACATGTCTTTACGCTCACAAAGGTAGAAATTTTCAGCCTCTTTTTTCTTTTTTTACTTTTTTTTTTTCCCTTTTTTGATATAATATTCTTTTTTTATTATTACTACTTTTTAATCTTCCTTTTTCCTGCTATTCCAATATTAAACTTCTTTCTTCCAAACTGCAGTCTATAGTACTATACAAAGCTCATCCCTTCCCAATAGCAATAAAAAACCACTGCAGCTCCAATGCTTGAAATTCACTGTTGCCAGCTAGCATTGTCTTGAAATCATAAAAATTAGTTAAACACGAGTTTCCTCCATTGAGCCAGGGAAACCCAGCATACTAGGTGAAAGCCTGGATTTGTATTCAGTCAAACGGATGCATACTACTTGTAGGATGTTCTGACAACTTAAGTTAGCTATTAAATGTACAAGCTGTGGGTTTTAATCTCCACATGCTTTGCCAAATAGAACACATTATATCCAAAAATATCCATACATGAATAACATATTCAGGACATTAAGAAATTGTTTTAGTGAATATCAGCAAATATGAGCTAATTTAACCATATATCTGAGTGAAATCCGCATTTGAATGAATTTAGGATAAGATCTTATATGCATTTTCAGCATCTAAATCGATTTCAGAAAAAGAAAAATTAAAGCCAATGTAGCAAACTGACATAAACTTGGTGGTTCAGATAAAAAGGGAGTCAAAGTCCTAACTATTTAATAAAACATGCTTTTATGAGCTTCAGGAATTAAAATAATCAATAATGCCTAGGAAACACCTGGCTGCTTGTCCAATAACCACGACCGTAGAACTTCAAATGGATAGGATGCTTCTTTTGTGCTTGATAGAACATAATCAATTACTACTATGATGTAATATTTATATGAAAGAAATGAAATTTCATGTATGCAGGGTATACTGTCTCATCTGGCTAGAAGCATGAATGCTAATTAAATAGAGAACTCCAATATGCTCGTACCATTTTTCATAACTTCGAATATCATGTCGCAGTAATATTTGAAAGGTGAAATCCTCATAACACGGCAAACATACTCTGCAAGATGGTAGGGAAACAACTGCAAAAAGAATATTAACAAATAAATGCAAGACCTCAATAAGCCAAAGCTGATTACAATTTCAACATGTGAAACTATATGTTACTTTTACAAGATACTAAATAAAAAAGTGTCATCATTTTGAATCTCTGTTGTTAATACAAAAGCTTGTTTATCTGTTTCATATAAGCAAAAGATTACATGCGAGATCTAGATAACTTAGTAACACTTACCTTTAGTAATTTTCTTTCCAGTTCTATAAAAGAAGGAGCATGACATGTATTAGAAGTTCGGGATCCTATGATATTCTGATAGTAATCATAACAGAATCCACATCACTTTAAGGTTTTAGTTCGAAACTTTGGTTATCCTTGTTAAACAACTTGATTCCATAATTTAATAGCATTTCCATGGCCCAACAGTAGCAAACCTTTAGCATGACAAAATTAATATGTTAGATTGTGTAAAGTACACTTCAAAATTACATTCTGTAATTAAATAAGTTAATTCTAAGGATCAATGGGCTACTCCACAGTTCACTAGCTTTTCACTTTGCTAAACATCTGTAAGTTTAGTTATTTATCTCGCACTCTATCTCATATTCAAATTCAGCAATTCCAATGAATAAATCAAGTCAATAGCAAAGTTTTTGCAATTCCAAACAGAATAACAATAATAAGTGTCTAGCATTGGAAAATTTATGTTTACTCATGTAGTGCATGAACATAAATGTAGACGTTATTTAAGTAATAATACATGAGAAAATACATTATTTTAGTGGGAAAGTAAAAACTCTGACCTTCATGATATTCAACTTACATTGTTTGTCCACAATGGTCGCAAATACAAGCATGTTGTCCTAGTTAGTCCATTTAGTTATATTCCATTTAGGTCAACTCAACTAAGCCATATCTACTTATATAGAAGAGCCACGATTAAACCACAGACGCTGAACCTTTTCAATTAATACTTGAATAGGTAACAACTAATAATTGTGCAACACAAAAGACTAAGCCTTATTCCCTGGATACTTAGGGTCGCTACATGAATATTTTTCGTCACTCCCTCCAGTTCATTGCTACCTACTAGAAAAACTAAAACAAATAGATCCTTAACAATCACAATAGTCTAAACAAGATATGCCCACCCCACCACATAAGACATCCTCCCATTAGTTTATACTCATTAAGTGCTATTTCTCTTGTTGGCTATATCATCCAATTTGCTTCAATTACACCTCCTTAACATCCTCTTCAATTCCTCATTCTATGTTAATAAACAAACCTAAATACCAAAAGCAATAATTTATTGTGACGGCCATTTATAGTGATTTCATTATTATCCTTAACTCTATCAATGATAATGCACGTACTTTGTTCTTATTTTTAGTTAACCAAAAATCTTTAGATTCCAAAGTACGCATTCAAAAATCTAATTACAATTTAAGCTCTCTCTAGTCTCATCAACAAAAACTCTGTGATCCAGCATATGCCAAGAAACTCATCTTGAATACATCTAATGAGATCATCCGTCTAAAGCAAAGAGATAAGAACTTAATTTAGAAAATGCAAGCCTACAGTGATAGGAAATTTTCCAATACTGTCGCCACTGCATCTCAGGCTAGTGATACTCTGTCGTACATATCTTTACTAATATTGATGCATCTATTAGAAATTCTTACTCTCTAGCACCCAGAATAGAATTTCCCTAGACATCCTATTATAGGCTTTTTTCTAATCTAAATCAAGAAAATCATATGCAGATCTTGTTTCTTTTCTCTATACTTCACGGTCAATCTCCTAACAACTAAATCGCTCGCTTCTATATTAAATTTTCTAGCATAAAGCCAAACTGATTCACTGAAAGTTCTGGTTCAGATTTTATCTCGAGCTCATGACCCTCTACCATAATTTCTTAGTATCCCTTAGGAGCTATACAGTTCTGTAATTTCATAAAATCTTGAATATATCAACTTAATCTTATGGATAAGCACGGTAAAGACTCTTCATACAGTCATAGGAATCCTTTTACTCTTTAAGATATCACTAAACAATTAGATTAACCATAAATAGTGAGGTAGCAATTAAGTACTAAACATTCAGAATTACATTCTAAATTTATTTTTTTATTTTTTTAATAAATAATCTGATAATTTTATTAATCAAAGGATAATACACAGGAGTGTATGATAAATTAAATATATGGACTGCACTAAAGCTTTACTAACAAATAAATGTAAATTTAATACTCACTGCTAGGTTCCTTCGCAAATAGCGCATCATATCTTCATAGTATTCACCTTCTTTGCCTACTTTGCGAGCAAAACAAGTGTTCCATTGGAGTCGTTTCTTTATGCAGTATTCAATTATCCTGCATGATTGGATAGTCACTTTGTTTGTGGAATGTTATCAAAGGAAATTAAACATCTATTATTGGCGTCGGGGTGGACAACTCATTAACGTCATACATACAAAATGTATAAATTATTCTTCTCATATCCGAATATAGCCCCATACAAACCCATCCAACTCTTTATACAAGCAGTAACTGATTCTTCTTCGAGAATAAATAAAAACAAAAGGCCATCTTTCTTATTTATAATGGGTTTATTGCATCCTCTAAATCAAGGCAACCTAATTGATGTAGGACATAATAGAGAAAGAGAAACAGGGAAGCATAATAAGAATTTGGGGAAAAAGATATCAATATTCGATCATCAATAGTAGTTTGCCTATAAATGAAATCTTAAGTTCCCTTTTACAGGGTAAAAAAGTTAAAATTAATAAAGGTTCTGATAAATAATTACTCCAAATTATCGAGTTTTAGATAATTATAACTACTGAAATATATCTTTATTCCCCATCATAAATCCATTGACGTATTATATTGATTCATAATATGTCCCAAAAGCTGGAACATTGGTTGATAAAACAACAAATGGCTGAACCTACCAACTTATACAAACCAATTAGAAGATTAGTTATATAATACAAAAATCGAGAGAAAAGTACTTTGAAACCTGATAGTCGACAACTACTTCCATGAGCACCCCTCACAACTAAACCCAAACAATTATCAAGTATATGATTCAGAAGTTACATAATTAACAAGAAGTTTTTTCTAATAAATCAATTTTAAATCTTGAACAACCTTTGCAGGATCTTTTATCTTCCTTTAGGTTAACTCACAGACTGATATTTCAAATGAAATAGATGGCTGGGAAGAGAACTTCTAATCTACTGTGTCTACCACTAGCCTTGTACTTATGTACAGGATTGGTCATTCTATACATTATCGTGTCGGAATGGAAACTCCAAAAAAATCACCTCACCAATTAGCACGACGATATGAAAATTCAAGTATTCAAGGATTTAGTAAAGGAAGAATTTGGTATCGAAGAAAATGACAAATTAGGACTAGCAGACCACAATACTTGATGGTGCTGAAGCTTGTCCAATGCCATAGGAACAGGATTTCCATCACCATGGTGCTGAAGCTTGACCAAGAAAATAAGAAGCACAAGCGCAACTTTTAGATTTATATTCACCAAACAGACTTCAACTCTTTGTTAGGCCTCATGAAAACTTAAAAATTCTAGCCATAGAAACAGAAATACCATCATTAATCCAATACTTTATGAGAAAATATTCCGCCGAAATTACAAGATGCATATTCAAAAAATTTAGGTTTTAGAAACTGTGGCAAATACTTTGCCCAGAGACCCAGAAAATGTTAGATGGCCAGAGATTATAAGCGTCCGAAGAAATTATTTTCTTCTCTTGCTATCAGGAGTCTGGAATACCCGGCACCTATTTGCATTACTTATTTTACTAAGCCACTATAACCAAAAAAACACGTGTTTCTCTTTGAACTCAGACTTCATGAATTTATCAACTGGTGCTTTAGTTTAATTGAAAATGAAATTCTAAAAGCTTCACAACCCATCAGCATCTTTAGAAATATACTCCAAGTAGCCATATTTGACAATAACACACACCCTGGTAGAAAAGGCGAGAGAAAATTTAAAAAAATACAGGATTCCATCGCACATTTGCAACCAAAATAGTGAAATCACATTGGCCTACACAAGGAATACTTGCAAAACTCCACTGAAGAGCATATTACTAACGTTCTCAATTCAGCCTAGATCTACGTGGGGAAAAAATGGATCCTGTTAATCTATTTATTAACAGCGTCCTATAGGCAACCAGGAACAACAATTCATATGCTCCAATAATAATAAAAGCTACACCAGAATGACCTATGGAAAATTGGGAATGGAAGGGTAAATCAAAACAGAACAAGAACCTCCTATGCCATTCTTCTTTAGAACTCAAGGTAGTTTGAAGGCGCTTGGGAAGATTCTCCCATGGGCATTCTTCTCTTATTGCTTTCAGTATCAACTGTTCCTCTACTGTTGCCGGATTGTGGTGCATTTCGATTCTCACTTAAACACTGCAAAAGTTACATGTACTGCACCTGGTTGGAAGTTCCAAGGGTTGAAGTTAAATTCCATTTCTCAACTCATCAATTAGAATTCAATAAAATCAAACGCCCAGCTGATAAATTTTGCTAAGACGAAAAAGGGAGCTAGATCGACCGGTATTATAAATTTCCTGGAGAATAATGGCAGAAAAAATCAACAAATTACCCGAATTTGGCGGCGAGAAGCCGTCGAGACGTGGGATCAAGCTGGATTTTGGAAATTGCACGATTAATTGTGAAGATCTAGGAAGTGGGCTATAACGAATTCAACTCGGAATCTTTTCAAATTGTTTTAATAATACTAATTTCTGTTTATTGCCGATATAACAGAAGATTTGAATTGAACTATTAGAATATATTCAAAATGTAATGTGAATTTCTGCACAGCCAGAGACTCATATAATTGAACTTTTCTTCAATTTCATTTTTCATCTTTATATTACGCTGGCACGGGTCTCCGGGCTTTTCCAATTTGGTATATTACTATTTATTTTCATTTAAAAGTTTATATTGCCATTAATAAAATTATTCTTTCTATATTATAACATATATCTTAATATTACAAGTATGACAATCTATCATTTTTCTTTTAAAGATATATATTCTAAGTATTCTTTTAAATGTCTAACACTTAACCTATTATTTATCAATTTTAAATAAAATTTAAGTGTTATCTTGTATCTATAATATTTAACTTTTTGAGGTAATCTATTTGATATAGATTTTCTCGTAGTTTTCTCAAGATCAATCTTTTAAAACTATTTTATCTTATATTCATTCTATTTTGAATTTTAGTATATAAATATATTATTTGATCAAGTAGATTGGAATAATCTGTAACATACTGTTCATAATTTTCATTAAATATATTATATTCTTCAGAAGATATATTCATATTTTTTAATTGAGAAATAATATTTTTTATTTTTTCTAACAAATTATCTAATCATTCAATTGTATATCCTGGCATTGTTACAAATAATTATCAAATCATGCAATTAATCCCTTTGATTCTCTAAGATCTAAAAATATTCATTCTAATTTTAGCAAAAATTAATAGTTTTACCTTAATTTTGATCTAGATCTTTATTTTTAGAACCGAGTGACCTTTGAGTTTTGAATGTGTAAACTATTTCTTTCAACGGCCTCCTGCTTTCACGGAATCTTTACTATTTCAGTTTCTTACTTTCACTGTATCAACTCTAAATAATAAAATTCTAGACTTCTATTAAAGAAAAACTCTCTTTTTTTCTAAAATAAGAAGGAAACTTTCTATTAGATCCTTCAAGAATCTATGGGACTAAAGATTTAGAAGCTCATATTAATATCAAAGTATTGGAATTTTTATTTATATCAGAATTTATACAAGACTTCTATTTGGTATGCAAGGATTTCCAGAAAAATTGATTTTTCAAACTGAAGATGGCTTAAGAGTGGCTATTGATTATAATTCAAGATTTTCAAGATGATCTCCCTCTATTACAATGTCTCTATTTATGCAAATATACAAGACTTTATTATTAATCTATTACATCATTCAGTACATCAGCAGAGGCACACTTGTCTTTCTATTATTGTCCTCCTTGAACCTACATCTTCACATGCAACACTTGATTTTTATTAAAGGAGCTTTTATTATTGTCCTCCTTCTTCTATATCTCCACATGCTTTTTCAATTTTTTATCCCAAAAGCATCTTTTTCTATTATCGCCATATATCTTTTATGTCCTCACATGCAATCGGGGCACTCCTTTAACTAGCAAGATTCTTTTATAATGGTAGAATATTCTGAAAATTAATGTATTTCAAATCTTGTAATGTAGTCCTTTAAGATTTCTGATTTTCCATGTCCTCCATTTGATACCAGCATCCAATTTTCATATTGACATAAGCATGAGAATTTTTTATCAAACAAATTTTTAGCAATATTATGTATAGCTTTAATTTCAAGTACTCTTCTATGTCTGATTCATGTATTTGTCACTGTTAGAAATTTTCTATAATTCTTTACCACATTTATTTGGAAGTTGGCTGCAATATATCTAATTGAGATTATGTATTCAATTGGATAATAAACAATTTCATTATATTCAGGACTTATTGAATAAAATTTCAAATATATTCTTCGTCCCTTGACAAATCTTGATACTTCTTTTATGAATATGTCATCAAATTTTGAAATTTCAATCAAATATTTTCTTGAATATATCAAATCCATAAATCCATGGTTTGTCATAATCTTTATAAATGAAGGGTCTCCTCCTTCCATGACTATTATTTTGGGATAAACATTATTTTTCGGCGAGATGAAATATAAATCACTTATTTTTATTATTTCATAAACAATTCTGACTATTTTGACATACTCTTCTTCTTTTGGATCTAAAGGGATTGTATCATCTTAATCTATGATACTGATAGTTTTGGAATCCTTTTTATCTCCATGTATCACGACTTTTTTGGTTGGTGTTGAATCTCCTTTTTTATCAATTGGTATGGTATCACGTCTGGGTCCACTGCTGCTTCCAGCTGTCCCTATTTGGTATTGATTTAGAAAACTCATTTATGAGCTCTTTGGTATATCTATCTCAGACAATATATCTTTTAGTTGTGATGCAATAACATCAACTTAATTTTTGAGTTCTATGGCTCTTTATGATGCTCAGTAGTGATTATTCAACAATATTTTTATATTTAAGTTGAACATCTCTAAAATCTGTGTTGCTTCAATAGTTATGTCTTCAGATTCTTCTTTAAGAAAATCTGTTCTTTTTTGTATATGTAGGATAAATTGATATAAATCTATGACCCTGTCTTTATCCATCAGCAAATTCTATGTTTCTACTGAGAAAATCTGTGAAAAAATTATTAACTCCTTTAATATGAACTATATCAAAATTATAAAATGCTAAATAAGTTTACCATCTATGGAGCCTTCTGTATTGAGGTTCTGATGGTAGTTTATTCTTAACTAATCCTGCAACTTGAGAATTGTCAACAATAAATTTCTTGGATAATAAAAATAATAAGAACTTTTTTATTCTTCTAATAATTGCTAGTAATTCCTTTTCATGACTATTATAATTTATTGCTGCTTGACTAAATTATCCACTTGAATATCCACAAATCTCATTTAATGTGTTTTTAATATTGCTACCCAATATTTATCCGAGCCATCCGTATTCACAATTAAATTATCTTTTTCATCTGGTAATCTTAATTTTGTTAAATTTTTACATTCTTCTTTTAATGATTTAACTATTTCTGTATGTTCCTCGTCCCATTATTTAATATTTATTTTTCTTAATAAAATTCGTATTTTATGTCTTTTTATAGAATGATTTTCAATAAATCTTTCAGTATAATTTAAACATCATAAGAATTTTTGTATTTGTTCTTTGGATTCTAATTCATCTGAAAAACTTTTTATCTTTTTGGATATATATGAGTGTGTAATTTAATTCCTCTTTTATCTATTGATAATCGAAAAAAGTCTATACCTTGTTCTTCTATTATAGATTTCTTTTTAGAGAGTACAATTCCTTCTTTTTTACATTCATTTATAAATTGTAATAAATGATTTCTATGTTCTTCTTTACTATTAGAACATATTAGTACATCATCTATATAAACAATTAGAAATTCATTAAACTTTTTAAATATATTATCCATTTTTCTTTGATATATTTGTGGTGCATTTTTTAATCCGAATGTCATTGCTAACCATTCGCATTTTCCTTAAGGTGTACTAAATGCAGTATATTATATACTATTTTCTTTCATTTTTACTTGCCAAAATCCTGATTTACAATCAAATTTAGAATAATATTGTTTTCCTTTTGCAAGATTTATTAAAACTTCTTTATTCGGTAAAAAATATCCATCAAATTTAGTATATTTATTTAATTCTTTATAATTTATAACCATTCTAGTTTTTCCTCTAACCTGTTCAGAATGTTTCATAACTGTTTGCGAAATAATTCTTTCGATTTAAAATTACCGCAAGTGTACGGTTCATAACAAGTAATAAAGTGGATTTTAAAAAGTCCGAATATCGTCCCTCAAAGATTGAGTAGTTCAATTCTATATAATCTAACCTTAACCGAATCTAATTGAGTGAAAATATGGTCTAAATGCAAAAAGCCTTAATTTCAATTAAAAACCCTAATTTCGAAATTTCTCTAATTAAACGACTCAAACACTCAAATAAATGAAATTATGCAAATTTAAAAGCTAATTTATGGAAATGAATCAAACTAAAGTCACCACGATCACGAATCCCCAATTGAAGTTATGAAAAACCTAATTTCATAAAATTAATGACTCGATGAAAATTTGACAATTCAATGTTCCTAATTCTATCCAATATATTCTTTCGATATATATTAGACCTATTCTTGCACACACCAGCCTATATCTCTATGGATGATGCAAATATACAAGAATGCATGTGGTTTTGTGAACAATTAAAGAATTGCATAAAGCATAGGGGTATATCTCTATCCCTTATCGGACCCTATGTTAATTTACACCTTATCGAACCTATTCCACTTCTCTCGAATGTAAGAAATAAGTCATCAACACTCACACAATCATTGGCCACTAATTGCAGAAGAAAATCAATGCATATAAACTAGTCAAATTATCCAAACGAGTCTTTATATTAATTTCATGAAATATGGAATTAACATAACAAACAATGGTTCATCGATCACCTAGTAATTGAAAACCTAGCCTAGAATATTCATCATTACAGAAAAAACGAAATTAATAAACAGAAAGAATAGCACCCGTATGAAAATTCTTGAAATCTTGAATAAAACCTTGAAAATCCACTTGAATTCTTGTGGAATCGGCTTCAAGATCGTGTTTCTTGCCTCCAAAAGTTATATTTTTCTTCTCTCTTAACGTTCTGCCCTATCTCTAATGAATTTTGACTTTTATATCATGTCCTTACGGAGCCCCGAAAGAGTTTTAATAAAAAAACGGAAGTTTAGAATTTTCTTCGAATGTTAAAGTCATGCGGCCGCATGGTTCAAATTTTCTGCCTCAATAATATCCCTGCCTCCTCATGTGCGGCCGCAAGGTTATAATTTTACAACCTTGCTATCTTGGTCCCTGAACTCCGATTTCTCTTTTCTTGATCTTTTTTCTTTCTTTCCTTTGTTCCATTATCAAATATTGACTCCTAATTAATGTTTGGGTCAATCATTTCCTTGATCACTTGCTCGGCTCATCTTTTGATTAATTGCAATTTAGTCCTTCATCTTTCACTTTTCTTCGATTCAGTCCTATGATATTTCTTTCTTCCTCCGATCGTCTTGTATCATCCTCAATCTCATACTTGGTATATTTTCATTCTAGTTCTGCACTTTAACTCAACTTTTCAATATTTGCACCTTTGGTCCCTGAACTATCGCTTTGTTCCGTTTTGG